GACTTATCAACACTTCCCTAATGCACTCAAAGCCTTTATAACTATAAAACATTGAGTATTTGCATAAGGAAAAGGAATATGCTCAAATAGCAGGTCTGAATAAAAAGAGAACATCAATGAAGAGTGCAGAATGCCTTCAATAAAAGGATTTAAACTGTATTGATACTGGAGTCAGTTATACCCAGTCTTTGTAAGGTAAAGTTAATCTCCAGCTCAGATTATAAAATTCAACCACCTTGTCTTTGTTTTTATTACAGTTGGTGCCCTTTTAGTGCAGGTCCTTTGACTTTTTTCAGGTCAGTGGAGTGTGTGGGGGGGGGGGGGGAGGGGGGTTTTGGGAGAAAGGATGTTGTCATTAGAATGAATTTGTATTGCTGAATCAAATAGGAGGAAGGGGGGGGGGGGAGGGAGGGGTTTTTTGGGAGAGAGGATGTTGTCATTAGAATGAATTTGTATTGCTGAATCAAATAGGAGGAAGGGGACCAGTATCTGTAGCTGCCTAACAATGTAGAAAACATTTTTAGGAAGTTCTCCTTAATTGCGGGATTATTAGAGATCACTCTGGTTTTACCCTTCACTGGCAATCAAAGAAACTCACACACCTAGGATAATGCATCCCCTATGGTTACTGGCTATTTCTGGAGTATTTACGAACAGCACTGTAACTAGGTATTTTTTAACTGGGGCAAAATATTATTTGTGCCCCCTCTCCTTAGTTTAGCATCTGTCACGCTCTTTACTTTTGCAGCTTATTATTACTTATTGCATCTTTGCGCCCCTGATTATGATGCACCCAGGGTGAGAGCTCTGCTTGCCCCACCCTTGTTATAGCCCTGCTTAGGAAATCTACTAGCAGCCTTTGCTTAATTAGTCAGTTACAATGAGGTGATGCCGACAGAATGAATAACTTTGTCTGTTTCTGCCTTTGTAGTTGGCCTGTTGCTGTGGTACAGCTGCTTGCTCCTTGTGCTGCAAATGTTGCCCGAAGATAAAGCAATCAACAAGTACCCGCTTCATGTACGCACTTTACTTCATACTGGTCACGCTCATCTGTTGTATCATGATGTCAAGAACAGTAGCTACTGAAATGAAAGAGCAGGTAAGTAATGGGGTTTGGTGGTAAATTATTTCTAAGCGAGTGCTGGGGCTCTTTTCATGTATCCTCATGTATAAATGGCAAAACCGAAAGGTCATAGCCACATACTAGATAATACTTGAGGTATATCCTCACAACAGCTCATACTTGAAGCAGAGTTCCAATAATCTCCCTCCCTCTGCCAATGCCTGTCTCTGCTCTCCAGCTGTTTGTGGTTCCCGTTGGGTTTCTTAAGGGGAAGGAGCAAAGAACTACTGATGAGTGGCCTTTCTCCTGTTTAGTTATGTGGAAACTATTTCAGTAAACACTACACAAGCTTCTTTTGGATCATTGTGGGATATGATTGAACAGTAGACTGGTCTTAAAGCCAGCTAATAACCTTAGTGGAAATTCTCAAGGGTGGGAAGAGTCTTACTGTGATTTCCTCATTGTGGTCTTAACACAGAAGTTTTGCCCTTTGCCAGACTGTGAAAATGAAAGGAAATTTGAAAGAGCAAACAAAATGGACTCTAGTCTTCAAGGACAAACTCTGTTCCCTCAAACATTCGTATTTTGAGGCTCTTGTGGGAACTGTTTGGTGTTTCATTAAAGTGTGGTGTAGGGATGTTAAATATCAGTTAACTGAATAGTCGATTAACCTCATGAATTCTTATTGGTTACTCAACTATTCTGTAGTCACCAGGGGCAGGAGCAGTGCTCTGGCCTCACTCTCAAGGAGCCCCTGCCACTCTGCACTGCTGCCTCTGTATCAGAAGCAGCAACCTGGTGTGCCAGGCAGGAGCTGGTCTGCGATGGGAGCCATTTTAAAAAGCAGATCCCCTTGTGGACCTGCTGCCTGTCACCCCACGCTGCTGCCACTGATACACAGGCAGCAGCTTGGGGTAGCAGCAGCCCCTGTCCACGGGGTGGGTCTAAACTCCCAGATCCAGTGTGAGCTGGAAATGAGCTGAGTTGCCTGCCTGCCTGCCTGGCTCCTAATACATTTTAAAAGCAAAGCCATGGCCACAGGTAAGTCCTGGACCTGGTGGAAGCTGCGACTGAGCCAGGCTGCTGGCCAGCCTGCTAAAAGTTTACTGGCTGGGAACGCAGTGGGGTGAGGCAGGAAGAATGCATGCAGGGCCGGACTAAGGGGTGGGCGAGCCGGGCAGGTACCCAGGGTTCCAACTGATGGGGGGCGCCTGATGGCAGCTGTATGGGGCACGTGGTTCCCCTTATAGCTGCCATCAGGCACTGTGAGTCCGGCTCCTGGTGGGCTGCAGTGGCTGTCCGGGGCAGAGGCCGCGTTAACCCCTGTAGTGCCCTTCCCCCCCGCAGCAGCGGGGCCCTGCACGGCCAGGCGCGGCCCACCTGGGCAGCCCCAGGCTGTGCACCAGCATCAGTGGCTGGGCAGTGCATGCACCGTGTGGCCACCTACATACCCCGGGGGCAGGCTCACACGTGCGCCTGGAGGCAGGAGTGCGCATGCACTGAATGCCTGGCCCTGGAGGTAGGCCTGCGTGCCCCGGGGACAGGCGCATGCATGCACTGTGTGCCTGGAGGCGGGCCCACGCCCCAGGGAGGGGCAGGCTCGCGCATGCACCGTGCGCCCGGGGTGGCAATGCCTGCCCGGGGTGCCAAAATGGCTTGGGCCGGCCCTGAATGCGTGTACTTTAACTGATAAGCTTATTGCATCCCTAGTGTAGTAATGGATTTAACAGCAAAGCAAAATCAAAGGGGAAGAACAATCCCTGAAGTTTTGTGTTTAAACGGGGAGTTGAAATGAGCTACTAAAACACACAAAAGGGACCCTTTTATAAGAAAGATTCCTTGTTCAAGTTTTTTTATGAATCATCATGTTTTTATGGCTACCTATAGGACACTACCCAGGCATTGCTGAGCTCTTACTACTTTTTAATTAAAATTTCAGAAGTATAAGGGTGACTGTGTGGTCTAAAATAGTTCTTAAAACTAACTCCTGTTACAGCATTGGTCAAGCTCCCATGCTGAATACTCTGCAGGCTGCGCTTTTAAGCTTCTCTGGTCAGAGCAGCATCCCAGCGCAATCTCTGATTTTTAATTTCCAGCACACTCTTGGGGTCCGCCTCTTCAGTTCTAGTACCCACTTCTGAGAGCTGGCAGTCTACTTGGCCAGGGTGCTGTAACTAGTGCTGGTTTCCTTTTCCAGAACTTTTCTTGAGTACTCTGATTTAGTTTCTTCTTCAGGGTCACTTGGTAGCTGAGGCGCACAAACACACACAAACTTTGCAAAAGTTTGACCACTTAAGGTTAGTTGTGTGTAGGTACATGTGCCTACCCTTGATCATGTGTCCTTGCTGTTTATGGTTTTGGGAGGTTTTGATGTAGTCAAAGGCAGATATGGGGATAAAGGAATCAGTCACTTAGAATAATCTGCATTTGAAGAAAATCTCTGTTGACAAAGACTTGAAGTCACACAGAGAAGGTGGGGCAAAGTTTCCAGTCTCTCTCTCACTCCCCCCCGCCCCCTCCATCCAGAACCAGCTCTAGGAAAGATTACAGTCCATATACTGCAGCTTCACTCAGAACAGAGCCAGGTACCTGCATTTGGAAGGTTGCTGCCAGCTGATGTCTTCCAGTCCAGAATGAACAGGACTAAGGTAAGACTGGCTGAAACCCTTAGTTGGCTAGTGGTAACAAGCAGAGAGATGAACAAGAGTTGCTGTGGGCTTCCTGTGCCAAGGAGAGAGAAGCTGGACAGGATAGTTTCCCTTCTTGTCCAGATCTAAGAAGGGTGGGAAATCACCTAAAGGGCAGGGCTTGATTGAAAGTTTGCAGGTTCTTTAAAATGCAGTTAAAATTGAAAAAACCACACAGGAGAAATTCATGTCCCTTCACTGTTGTGGTAACTGCCAAAACTGTCTCTGTCTCTGTGTTTTAAGATTCAGAGCTCAAATTAGTTCTTTGTTCATCTTCTAGGGGAATTCCGCTCCATAAACACCCTGCAGAGAAATTACCTGAAGCAAAGAGACTCAGTTTTCTCCAACCCATTGTCTCAAACTGTCCCAGTTTGAATAGGAGCCATTTAGGGATAGTGACTTTCCAGAGTCCCTGGGCTGGGAGGAACCTGACTCCACTCTGACACCACAGGGTGGATTCCACATATATTGAGGCCTGGAGTACTTTTAAAATTATGGTCAGTATAGCTATGTTTCTGAAGGGTATGAAAAAATCCACAAACCTGAGCCATGTAGTTTTGTTGATCTAACTCCAAGTGTGGATATTGCTAGGTCAACAGACAAATCTTCTGTCAACCTAGCTACTGTTGCTGAAGGAAGTGGTGCTCCTATTGTAACAAAAAAAACTCTTCTGTCACTGTTGATTGCATCTATATTAGGGGGCTATGCTGTAGCTTTGCTGCAATAGTTCTTGTAGCACAGAAGTGGCCTGTGGCATTCAATGATAAAGCAAGTTCGTAAAATTAACCAGAATTCCTAGGTTGTACTGAAGAACTGTGGCAATTTGGGGAATCTGACACTATGACGTATTAATGTGTGAGATCTAAACTATGTTTCGGTTATAGAAAAAAATCTTTCTACTTCTTAAACAGGGAGTGGATTGAATTTTCAATAATTCAATAGCATAGGACTGGAACTAGTTGGTTTCTCTATGGAATAAGCACCAAACCTGCCTTCCTTCTTGTGAGTAAGATGGTCTTAGAAAGTCAGAAGGGGTCCTCAAACAATGATGCATTGGCTTTTTCACTGCACTCTTCACAAAGAAAGCATGCCCCTGAATACATGGTTAAAGCTGCTTCCCAGTTTAATCAGCTGTTTAAATAGCTCTGTTCTGTTCTTCTTGCCTGTAGTCTGTTTGGCTGACTAATGCAGGCAAATTGTTCCTCCTTAACTAGCTTTTTTAAGTCACTTTAGTTTTCCAGAGTTTGTGCATCATCATAATTTTGAATTGCTTGACAGGAACTAAATTTTCATTTGTGGGAAGCCTGAATGGAGAGAAAATGAATATAAGCCAAGAAACTGACATTTTGAAGACCATTTACTTATTTATACTAAACATTCATAAGCTCCATTTCTTTTAATAGTAAGGGTTTAATGCTGTTTGTGTCTCCAACAAAATAAGTATTGTAATTGAAATAGTAAACTGTGTCAGGGTCTGCAGTGCCAATTTCTCTGCCCTTTTTTTGCATTTGCTTTGACGGTTCAAGAGTAGGAAGAAATGACACAAAGAGTAGTTGTTTTCTTGCAGTAGAAAGACAATTGCTCTTTAAATTAAGAGTGTTTGATGGCTTTAAGAATAGGCTTTCTTTATGTGCTCTCCAGTCTAGGAATAGGCATGTTCTGGGCTGTTTAATATTCAAAGGTTTCAGCAGTTAATTCAGCCTAGCCTCAGCAGGATGCACCTTCAAATTATGTTTCCAGTTTTGGAAAGTAAGACATTAATTATGGGCTGGCATTTAGAGAGGATTTCAATGATATTTCTGAGTGCTCAGCAACTTCTGAAGCCAGGCCATAAGCAAACTATAGTTCTCCAATATTTGTGTAGGCCGCCATCTGTTAAAAATAGAGAGCTTTCCTTATTAATTTAAAAACCTAATCCAGTATTTTATAGGCCCAGATGACTGGTATGTGACTTTGTGCCTGCACTATCAATTTAGAGATCAAATACTCCAGTTAATGTTGTGAACATCCACTTTGATGTGGAGGGAAAATCACCCTTTCTAACTCAGCTTTAAAATGATTTTTAAAATGCTATTTGAATTTCATGCTAACTTGGCTTCTACAGTTGCTGTAAATTTGCCAAGTCGGAAGTGGTTCTGTATCATCTGCCTTAGCAGCATATCTGTTAACTCAATGATATTTAAGATGCTTATCTGCGCCGGGGACAGCTGTAACTGTAAGCTCAGTTTCTCAGAATTAAGATTGCACTATTTGGAGTGCTGGCAAAAAACATTCAAATGTAGTTTTGTCTACCCTATGCATGCTGGGGCGCTCTCACTATTTTGCATTGTGTCTTGGAAAACAAATCTC